ACTTTTTAAAAGCGTCAAACTGTTCCCACAACTACTGAGAGGAGTGAAATACGTAAGTATAACTTTATTGAATATTTCTACTCCGAAATCCATGTAGAATTTCGAGTGACTGGTGATGATCGTAGCAGCAGACGCCCACACTTTCGGTTTCCATTCTGTGGGAAATCCAAGTGATTAGCAGGGGTGTAATGAATAAGCTCAAATGTTAGCCTTTGGAAGCATTTTTAAATGCCTCAATGAAGGCCGGCAAATTAAGTGATTTCTGGGGTCCATTTAATAAAACTACTACAAGTGTAGTTTACAAGAGTCTGAAATCAATAGCTCTACTTGTAAATTACACTTGTGAAAGTTTTATTAAATTGACCCCTTAGTTGAAAAAATTCTTCTTCTGCCGCCTTAAGTTATCGCGCTTTTTCTGCAAGATACCCTTTCTCGGTCCGTCTGTGCCTCCCAGGGCTTGTTCTGAAATCCCACAGGCTTGCACTGAGAGAATACGGGTATTTTTATCCCTTTCTACTTTGAAATTAAACATTTACTAATTAGGGCAAAAATCACACAGTATAAATCTGTAGCACTAAAATTTATTGGTTTTCCCTTGAATCACTGCCATAATTTCTGTCTGTTAATTCTATGCCAGAATAAAATTTTTTGATGGAAACTTTTTTATTGCCAATGAGCAGGCTCCTCGCGAAGACATGAGGCTGCAAGGCGGCAAACTTATAGAGCTGTGCGCGATTGTTCCAGGGGCAGAAAAAATCTCAAATCGATGTAACATAAAGTAATGGCCCGATGTAAGGCAACCATGATGTAACGCAGAACAGAGAATGCATTGTTTTCGAGCAAACATGTGATGCAGATCAGAGAATCCACGAGCCGTGTGCACATTTGTGAGTTTCGTGCTCATCCCATCTTCAACCAATCATCAGGTGGATGACTTCCATCCTACGCCATATCTGTCACATTTGCCGCCTGTAATTTTTTATTGCATGCCGCTAAGAAAAATAATAACCCAGCGAATTTTTTGTGTCTTTGAAGCAAAATAATTCGAAAGACCACTAATTTTAACGCAAAATGACGTGCGCAACTTTGGACAAAAACACGGACTTCAATATCTCGAAAAATTAGCTGTGTAAAGTCGGAATTTCAAATTCTTTATGCAGTAGAACAGTTTAGACAAATTAAAGCAAGGAGCACACATACACCAAACCCATGATCCGCCTTCCCTGCGCATGTTGTGGGAGAACTGCCGTGCAGTTCCCAGCCAACAGCTCTCACATCTGCTGTGTGGAGCTGGCACTTAAAGGACTCGCCTCGGGAGGAAAGGGTCTTTTATACATGGGTTTTCCCCGGTCACTGACCGATGGCTATGCCATGGTGATGAGCCCCAAACAGCTTGAAGAAAACAGGTGTCCATGGCTGCCAAAGCCCGCGTGATACGGCTGTGCGCATGCGTGAGGTAATGGCCAGGCCATGGGTTGGTGTATGTGTGCCCCTTGCTTTACTTCAGTGGTAACTCGTGATCCACCTTCCCCTCACATGTCGTGATAGAACTGCTGTGTGGTTCCCAGCCAACAGCTCCCACATGTGTTGTGTGGAGCTGGCGCTTGATAGACTGCTTTGCACTCACTTCTGCAGTTAGGAGTTTTTGAGATGTGGGTTTACCCCATTCATTAACCCAACATCTTTGCCACACTGGTGGGCCCCACTACGGGTTAAACAGCTGTCTGTGGTTGCCACTGCCCTTGTGGTATGGCTTTGCGCATGCGTGAGGTACTAGCCCAGCCGTGGGTTGGTGTTTTGGTGCACCTTGCTTTACGTTTGCACTATTGTCAATGTAACTGAATTAAGCTCACAGTATTATTCATCAGTTAGTGTATTTCATGACATTTCTAAACAAATTCAACAGTATAGGCGTATAGGTAAAATCTTTGTTCGTTTGCACTTAGTGACAGCTATAACTAGTTTAGAGCGGTAATATTGCACTTTGAAATGGTTATTTTTTGGCCATAATATTCATAATAGGAATGAATTACATTTTTGTGAATTTGCAGACAACCTATGGCAGTGATCTTTTATTTTCCACTATCTTCCAAGGTCTCTTGGTCCAGTCATTTATTATGCATTAGTCAATTCCAGGTGTGCCCATGCACTCCCGGGCAACTGTTGGGCATTAATTGCATGAATTGTCAGTCCTGGGGGTGGGGAATTAGCAAATTATGCACGGCCCAGAGGTCGGGCATTTGCCAACCTCTGGGTCACCCCCTAGCTTTTGGTACGCACATGCATTCATTTTTAAACATAACTACACATGGAGGATTTTACGAGAAACACCAGCAGATTTGCAGATTGACTCATCTGTCTTGATTTATGCCTGCATTTCTTCACTGTTTAATCAAGCCAGAAGTCGGGAGCTATTGTCCTGAGTTGACATTTTTTTTTGTCATGGAACGAAATTTCTGTTGATCTAGGATTTGACTATAATTTAGTGGTGATGATATTCCTAATTTTACTATCATTGATCTATGTATTATATTTACTTTTTCATAATATTTGACTATTTGGAACAGATATCTCAAAAGTACATAAATAAGAATCATGAAGTGGTATCATCGCTCATGAAGTCTTAATTAGAATGGCACTATCCAAGGGAGACATTAGCCAAAATAACACTGACATTAAATCCACTACTCAACTGTATGATCAATGAAAAGTGCTGCAGTGTTGACCGTGGATGGGGCATTTGCCCTCTTTCTTCATCTCTGCGGCAGGGCATGGCAGTTCAAGTGTCCCGGCCCCTGGGAATTTGCCATCCACAGCAAAAGAATGCCCATGCCATGCCCAGGGGTTCACTGGGTGGGGGGGGGGATGTTGGGAGGTGTGGGCTCACCTAAAATTGACTGATGCATTATTGTAGCTCTGTTACTGATACAAGCCCTTGTGGAAGACAAGCAATTGCGATCACTGATAACAAGGACCAAGAGCCTATCGTCCCAACCAAATCACAGCAGTTTTATATTTAGTACCTGTCTGCTCCACCCCAGAGGGGAAGAGGCAGAACCCTTCTTTGTTTGGTTTTTTTTTCTTTTGAGGGGTTTTCACTGAGCAAAAATTATTGTTTTTTTTTTCTTACTTGAAGCCTGTCCCATATGCATGTCACGTTCTGTTCTTGCTGGCTGTTACAACTGCTTTCATAATCTCAGTGCTTCTTTCTGAACTGTTACCCACAGTCTTGCTTTAAGATTGATACAGTTTGCTTTAAGCTTGGAGTAGATCAAGTCAATTTGCAGTCTAGAATGAGAATAGTCTGTGTTATTAATCAGAAAAGTGTTTCTTCCTTCTAGAGAAATGGTGTTTCATTTCAATGATTCAACAATGTTTGAGAGAATGAAGTCTATGAGGTCTATGAATGAGGTCTATGTGACGTCAAGTTGACTATGTTAATGGACTCATTTCATGTACATTGAGAATTTGTGAACTTAATCGAGCAGTTTATGTTAATCTGACTCCCCTTCATTGACAACTTTCATTGCTTGTATAATTTATTAAAAATTTAAGTTCAGCATAAAACACCAGTCCATGAGGACAATTGACTCACAGGGTCTTTCATTACTCCACCCCAAAGGGGAGTAGGAGAGACCCTGATACTCCCTATCCTTAATCCATCCTAATTCTTAGAGTCTATCATTACCTCACCACAGAGGGGAATATAGCAGACCCAGACTCTTATTCTAAATGTAGCATCAATTTCATAGTGTTATACTACCTCATCCCAGATTTGAAGGAGAGAAATCCAACAATCACTATCCTAAATACAGCCTCATTCCTAGCTGAGGGTCTTTCATTACCCCACCCCAGGGGGGAAAGGGAGACACCCCGGACTCCCCATTCTTCATACAGCCTCTGAGAGGCCCAGGACTGCCTATCCTAAAATAAATGCAGCCTGATTCCACAGAGGTGAGGAGGAGAGACCCTGGAGTTGAACTAGCTCCCAGTGAATAAGAACGTTAAACTAAATATACTTAAGTTAGCTCATAAGTCGCTATATGATGAAATGTTTCCTGAATATCTTAAATTAAATTTACACAAGGTCAGTGCTAATAGCTTAAGATCTTCGATTGCGCCTGTCCTTTCTATTCCGAGAGAATCAGGGACATTTCAGCACTCGGCAGCAACTATTTTTAATAAACTCCCTGTAGCTATTAGGAACATAACTGAGTACAATTCATTCTGTCGTAGTGTAAAAAGACACCTTTTATGTAATGAATCTTAAACAGCAAACACAACTGTAAATGTGTATACACTCTATATTTATTATTATTATTATTATTATTGTTGTTGTTTTATATACATATTTTTGTGTTTTTTTATTATTATTTTTTCGATTTATAGTGTAGATTTATAGTGTAGATATTGTAGATGAACAACCTCATTTGTTGGATACTCTGCTATGAACCATTATTATTATTATTATTAATCCATCCTCATTCTTAGAATTTGCCAGAAGGTTTCTAATCCACTAGGTTCTTATGCGCGGGTTTTCACTGTACAAGAATTCAAACCTGGTAAACGGTGTGCTCCCACCTTCCGTAAATCGCTTTAGTTGCTAGTTTTTTTTTCACTCTATCTTTTAACAGTGTCTTCCTTAATATAGTCTTGTTACTAAAAAAACAATTTCTTCTTCTTTATTGAAGCCAAGGTCGTTGATATCTCGGGTCCGTTCGGTTGCCCCTTAAGTGGCATATTCTTATTTTTACGTTTAAACAAAATTTTCGTTGCTGCTAGTCTAGGTCATTGTAAGGAACCTTATGGCATTTAAGGTAACTATTCATGTGTTAGGATTTTTTGGTCTTTTCGTTGCAGATCCTTGGTTAGGAAATGCCACGAGGGGCCTAATTAGCAAGGTACAAAGAACTAGACACATAGTCTCAACTGTAGCGCCGGCTTTTTCATTTAGTTCTAAGACGTACTGTTTCTCAGTTTACCTTGAAATCCGCATCATAATGGCATCTGGCGGTTGGGTAGTAGAGCTTGATAAGAAAGAACACAAAAACTGGGTGATGGTTGGTTGTGCTCTTAACATTGCCAAAAAAGGAATAGTACCAACAATTCAAAACAAAATGGAAACTTGGTACCAGTCCCTCATTTCCAGTCCTCCGCTTCAGTCACTTCCCTCTTGCGCATGCGCACCTTCAGCACCAAAGTGCGCCACTTGCGTCATCTGGGAAAAGGAACTGAAACGTCACCACAAGTCCGGGAGACCAAAGATTTGCTGGGACAACAGTGACCGAACACAGTGGGGATCTCCGACTGGGGCATGGGAGATAGCTAAAGTCTATATGCCAACTCTTGGAAGCCGAGCAAAGGATGTCATCGACGCAGATAGAACCGACATTGGTGGTCTTTTGAATTTGTTAGAATGGTGTCCTTTTATCAATCCCCCTGTGAGTCGAACTCTTTTGAATTCAGCAAGAGATGAATGCAGAAATCGTTGGGCGCATGCTGCCAAACAAGAAATTTGTGATGCCGATGTTCAAACTATATTGAGTCATCTCAATAATCTGCTTAGTGACCCAGTGTTTAACTCTGAACTATCAGCCCAAAAAGCGTCCAGTGATTTGCAAGATTTGTCCCGTCAAGGTCTGATTAACGTCAGAGAGTCTGAGGTTGAAGCTCTTCACTTGTTGCGGCAATGTCTGGAGGCCGATCTGAGAAAGTGCCAAGAGGACTTGGCATATACACTTCGACATTTATCTCAGGTCCAAGAACAAAGTAATGAGAACAAATCTGAGATCACTACACTAAAGCAGCAAATGGGAGAAGAGTCAAAAAACTTGTCTGAAACTGTATCCACGATATTGATTGAAGTTGCTGCCTTCAACAAGTTCCTAAACCAAAGAGATGATCTTAGAAACACAATTGAGGTTATTTGTGATGACTTAGATGAATTGTCGAATGGTATACAGAAGGTTGTTCTGGAACTAAACGAAGTTGGACTGATCTTACCCCAGTTAGAAAGCAACCTCAAAAACTTGTATTGTGAAGTACAGAAAGTAGCCAAGAATTTCTCTACAAACAAAAGCTCGATCTCAAGATTACAAGAAGATGTCATGGAGGTTAAAGAAGAAATGGAAACATTGAAACACAAAACCCAGGTTGGTCTTTACAAGGGAGACGATGGCGACGACGATGATGACATTCTTTGCACGGCACCGATCGGATTAACAGAGTTTACCGGCCGCAAATCAGAACTAGAATGGCTTGAAAGAAATCTTGTTTTGCAGAACCCGGAGAAGAAACCCGGAACCTCAACTTGTATTAAAACAATATGCGGCCTTGGAGGCTGTAGAAAAACTTCCCAGGCGGCGTGTTTTGGGTCATTGGTGAAAATGATGAAAGTGTACGGAAATCCGTGGTCGAAATACTTACGTTTGTCAATATCAGCGCCTCAGTAACCGACAACATAGAGGACATTTTGAACAAATTCGTGTCATGGTTGTCCATAATGAAACGTCCATGGCTTCTTGTGGTAGACAATGCCGATGAATTAAATGATCCAAACTGTCCGGCAGGCGTTAAGAAGATATGCAAAGGGTTGTGGCAAAGAACGCACCTTCCAAGGAAGCATGGTCACATACTTGTTACAACCAGAGCAAATGCAACACAGAGTAGAACATTTTTGAAGATTTCAAGTGATGATTGTTTGAAGTTACAGTGCTTCAGTGAAGAAGAAGGTGCATTATTTCTAATGCAACGGACAGGTCTCGGAGGGAACGATCTTGACCCAGATGCTATTTGTTTGGCGAAAGAACTGGGATCCCTACCGCTAGCTCTCGAACAAGCCGCCGCGTACATATCTTCCAGCCCTCTTCCACTTAATTTTAAAGATTACCTGAACAGATATAAAGAAGTTAAGCTTCGTCTTTTAAAACAGCAACATGCCACGGCTCTAAGTCTGGAAGCACAACATAGGTTGTCAACTCACACAACCTGGGTGATGAACTTCGAATATGTTAAAAAAAGGTCACCTGCCGCTGCAAAGATTATGCGTATTTCTGCTTTTTTTGAATCTGAATATATTCCTTTCAATGTCATCAATCGTGGATCCCCTGAATGTAATCAAGAGGAACAGAGAGAATGTTCATTCTCTTATTCAGATATTGGTGACATCCTCAAGATACTATCAAGCTACTCTCTTTTCTCGGTAAACCACCAGTGCAAACTGTTCCGTGTCCACAAGCTTGTCCAACAAGTTGTTAGAGACAGTCTTACGAAATCAGAAAGGATAAAGACATTGGTGGAATGCGTTCGCGTTCTTCGCTTTGCGTTTTTACAGTTTTCTGTATTCGAGAATTTCAGGTCAGGCGACCTTTACGAAATGGATTTGGAGGACCAGCTTATTGTTTTCTCTCTTTTGCTGCACTTTCTCAAGTTGACAAGTTATATGAAAGAGGAAATGAACGAGACAAATGAGGATGACACCGGTGATCTCTTTAACGTGGACACCTATGACTTATGCAAACTTGTACATGATCTAACTAGGACACGGAGGTCTCTGTATTTGTTAAATGCAGAACTCTCGGACTTCTTCTTGCAACTCTTTAGAATGGTTTTCGGTGACAGTGATCCGAGCGAGCTCCTCTTTGAGATGACCAACGTAAGTAGCATCAAATGCAACACTCAAGGCAAAGACGAAGGAAAGAAATTAATGGATAATGTTATGCAAAAGTTGTTTGAGTTTGAGAAATCGGGTGTTGTTATAGAAGCCAACATCAAGTTCCAAGTTCTCTATCAAATGGCAAATTTTTTCTTTGTTGAAGGAGAGGTAAAGAAATGCTACAATGCTTTATTGGACCTTGAGAGTTTAAACTTACCAATAAGCGCTGCTAATACTGCAGAGCTACAAATGTGCATTGCGGTTGTAGAAAATTTTGGGATGATCAGAAAAACCAGCCATCGTGCCATGAAAGCCGTAGAATTAGCAAAGAAAATTTATTCTTCGGATGACCCAAAGTTGCTGCGGATGCTTCAGTATGCCGGCACGATACTTTACGACAGCGGCAAGTTAAAGGAAAGTAAAATATACGCCAAAGAAATGCGAGACATCTCTATGACGCTACCTCCCTGGTCAGATGATATTGGATGTGGGATGCACTCTCCTCTGTCATATTTTTGTGAATTAAACCACGAAGTCATGAAAGACGTATTGCTAGAGATTTTAGAATACAGATGTCCTCATATATACAGTTGTATATTAGATGGCTATGTGAATAACTGTATACCTTATCTTGATGACGGATTCGAAGATTTCATTGATGTATATTTACACTGTTTAATGAAATGCGTTTGTATCGCTCTCAGAGAGAGTAATAATTCGAAATTTTCCGCGGAAACTTTGGCCATTTACCGACGAATTGGGGAAACATTTGTTTCCCTACGAATGAAGCATTATGGCTCCATCTTCCCAGATATGGAAGAGGCACGTTGCTTTTTAATGACAGTAAATATCCTCTCTAGAACTGATGAAGAGGATGTGTTTAGAAGTCGCCAACTACCAGTATTTGTAAGCTGCCAGGGCCGGCCTGAACAGTGCCAATGCAGACCTTGCGCGGATTCAATTGGGGACCGCTCAAGGCGTTACAAAGATGCAGGTAACGCGTTTTTCAGTTTAGGCGACTATTTGAGGTCACTGGAATTCTATAACAAAGCCTTAAACTTGACTCCAAAAGATGCTAAGTTATTAACTAACAAAGCGTCTGCGCAAGTCAAGCTTTCTAAGCAGAAAGCACAGAGTCAACCTTTAAAAGAGCAACAGAACATTCTTCAACATGCTCTTCAAGACTCTCTTAGCGCGATATCTGCAGATCCTTCTTGGGTGAAGGGATACTACTGGAAGGCTGTTTGTCTTGCTGAACTTGGGCAAAGAGGTGCATCACTTGCTGCAGCTGCAGTTGCTGAATGCCTGTTTCCACTGCAATGGACCCAAATACCTGCTGTTGTCGAGCATTTTGGACGCTACATTGTAAAAGACGTAGCTACTTCTGAAGATCTCGGGCGCGCCGTAGAGATAAGGGAAAACAGTCTCGTAATTGTGGTCCGTAGTGGGAAATATGTGCTAACTCAGCCTTTAAAGGTTCCATCAAATGCAGTGATAGTTGGCCTTGGTAAGGTCGAAATCACCTGTGTCAAAGGCGTTCCACTGTTCCTGGATAAAACTGTTTACATCGACAACATTGAACTAACACCCTCCGCGGAGTTCATCAGAATGAACAAAGAGGATGCTAAAAAGTGCCTCGATCGTGGACAGTTAGACCAGGCGTTGTCTTTGTATAGCAAGGTATTGGCCTCATGTCCAGAAAACACACAGCTTCTTACAGCAAGGGCTTCGACTTACTTGAAAGCAGCGAAAGAAAAGAGCAACACGTGTGAGCGGGAATCTTTGCTAGAGCTTGGTCTGGAAGACACCAAATCCACCATCAGAGCTGACCCTTCTTGCTTACTTGGCTACTCTACCAGAGCTGCGATTATGACAGAGTTGGGGAGGAAACACGAAGCCTTGGCCTCTGCTGCTGTGTTTAACCACTTGAGCTCTGGTCGCGATATTTCATCAGTCATTCAGCGTTATGGAGCGTTGCAGATCCATGTTGTTGAAAATTCAGATGAACTGCGCAATTTTCTTGAAGAAATAGAGGAGTAAATCAAATTGTTTTAATGAAAGAAGGAGAGTACCTATTTGAAAACAGCGTTCAGATCAATCCAGCAATCGTTGTTGTTGGTCTAGGGAAAGTAATTGTTTCGTGCAAGACTGGCGCACCTTTTCACTTTAGAAAGGAACATTTTGTCGAGAATGTTGAACTTCAGGGAGACTGTGGTGATGAGCCAGAATCACTAGAGACTGCGAGTTCGACAAGTCTTTTTGGTCAGGATGAATATATATCTTTGGCCTTGCCCTCGGGGTATGACGCCTCAAAAGTCGACAGCGAGTGCAAGATGAACTAACCCC